CTCAGCCTCTTGAGCAGCTGAGGAAGAAGGCACGTGCCACCATGCCTGGATTTTTGGTTTTTGTAGAGACAGGGTCTCACTATGTTGCCTAGGTTGGTCTTGACCTCCGGGGCTCAAACGTTCCTCCTGCCTAGGCCTCCAAAGTACTGGGATGTCATCTGGCCATCACACCTAGCCAAATATATCTTCTTTATCTTGGTTACAGTATTCGCTAGGAACTGTTTGATCCTAGCTTGCCACTCCTGTGGCGTGAACTGCTCAGTGACCCGTTTTTTTGCTTCTTTAAGACATCTTGTTATGTGGCTGGGTTTGGGTCACTTGACTTCAGTGGGCATGGGCATACTGGCAGTAGTGACAGGAAGCTGGCATCACTGGACTTGCCTGTTAGTGGTATCCTGGTGACCAGATCAGTAAGCTGAGGACTGTACCTGGAGTGTCAGGTATGGAAGGCCCAGGTGAGAAAAGATCAAGGGATATATCCAGGCACTTCAGGATGAAGACAAACCATGCTGACAAATGACTAGTAAGTAGTTGAAGTGTCTCATCGTTGGAACCTGAGTAGCCTCACATAGAGCACGTGAACCACAGTTGAATGGACATGCCTGCTTCCTTGCCAACTTTGCCTCTGCCAGAAATTGGTTTCTTGAGTTGTAAAACAAGTCAAGTAATATAGGAAAGGCCGAGCTTGGTTGCTCAGCCTATAATCCCAGCACTTTGGGAGGCTGAGATGAGTGAATTGCCTAAGCCTGTGAGTTCGAGACCAGCCTTGGCAACTTGGCGAGACCTCTTCTTTACAACAAATCAAAAATTAGCTGGGCATGATAGTGTGCGCCTGTAGTTCTGGCTACTTGGAAGCCTGAGGTGGAAGGATCGCTGGAGCCCAGCAGGTAGATGCTGAAGTGGCCGTGAGCATGCCACTGTACTCCAGCCGGGTGACAAAGTGAGACTCCAACTCAAAAAAAAAAAAGACATAGGAAAAGGTGAATTCTAAGTAATTAGCACATGCACCATATCTGTCTATAAGAAATCTCCACTTTTATGGTTTGGAAATGACATAGTAAATGGGTCCTTATATTCCCTACAAGCCGCAGGAAAGATAAGGAAAAAATAGAATGACCTATTTATCCCTGTTCTTGAAAGGGAATATTATTATTTTTTTCTTCATTTTAAAGCTGTGGGGTATAATTCAGGGTTAGGTATACAAATGTTCATTATGCAGGTACCCTTGTTGATGAGGTGTGTCCCTCTCTCCCCTGGCAGTTTCCCTCAGCTGCCAATCCCACCCCACCTCCCCTGGCAGTTTCCCACTACTGCCAATCCCTTTCTTATAGTATTATGATAATTGTTCAAGGTCCGCTTATGAGTGAGAACATGTGGTACTCTGTTCTTTGTTTCTGTGATAGATCACTGAGTATGATCGATTCTAAATTCAGCCACGTTGCTGCGAAGTCCATATGTTTGTCCTTCTTTATGGCTGCATAATATTCCATTGTGTATATATATCACATTTTTTTCTATCTAGTCCGACTTCAATGGGCAGCATGGTTGGTTTCATGTTTTTGCTATTGTGAATAGAGCTGCAACAAACATGTATGTGCAGCTATCTTTTTGGTAGAATGACTTGCATTCCTCTGGATATATTCCCAATAGGGTGATTGCTGAGTCATACAGAAGGTCAATTTCTAGTTCTTTCAGAAATCACCACACTGTCTTCCCAAGAGGTTGCACTAGTTTGCATTCCCACCAGCAGTGTAGGAGTGTTCCTTTTTCCTCTATATTCTCGCCAGCATCTGTTGTTCTTTGTTTTATTAATGATGGCCATTCTTACAGGGGTTAGGTAGTATCTCAATGTGGTTTTGATTTGCATTTCTCTGATGATGAGTGAGGCTGAGCACTTTTTCATGTGTCTGTTGGCTGCCCGTATATCTTCTTTTGAGAAGTGTCTATTCATGTCTTTTGCCCACTTTTTAACGGGGCTGTTTGTTTTTTCTCTTTCGGTGCGTTTGATTTCCTTGCAGATCCTAGATGTTAGGCGTTTGTCAGATATACAGTTGGCAAATATTTTTTCCCATTCTGTGGGCTGTTTCCCTGCTCTCTTGATGGTTTCTTTTGCTTTGTAGAAGCTTGTCAGTTTGATGAGGTCCCACTTGTCTATCTTACCTCTTATGGTATGGGCTCTTGGAGTTTTGATCAGGAATTGGTTCCAATTTCCATAAGGGTGTCTCCTGCGTTTTCTAAGATTCTTACTGTTTGAGGTTTTATGTTTAGGTCTTTGATCCATTTAGAGTTAATTTTTATGTTATAGTGATAGGTAGTGGTCCTGTTTCAAATTTCTGCCTGTTTTCCCAGCACCATTTACTGAATAGGTTCTCCTCTCCCCAGTGGTTGTTGTTGGAGGCTTTGTCAAAGATGAGTTGGTTGAGAAATTGAGGCTTTGCTTCCGGAATCTGAATCCTGTTCCATTGGTCCTTATGCCTTTTCTTATGCCAATACCAGGCGGTTTTGATAATTGTAGTGCTATAGTAAAGTTTAAAGTCTGGAAGTGTGATACCTCCTGCTTTGTTTCTTTTTCTAAAGATTGTTTTGGCTATTCGTGGTTGTTTATGTTTCCATATGAATTTCTGTATTGTCATTCACAGGTCTGAGAAGAATGATTTTGGTAATTTAATGGGTATTGCGATGAACATCTTAACAATGTTGATTTTTCCTTTTTTTTTTGAGTTGGAGTCCTACTCTGTCACCCAGACTGGAGTGCAGTGGCCTCTTCCGGCCACTGCAGCCTCGACCTGCTGGGCTCCGGTGATCCTTCCACCTCAGCCTTCCAAGTAGCTGGAACTACAGGCGCGTTCCTTGAAGGGTTTTGCTCAGTCTGGTGGTATGTGTGTCCCTGCCCCATGTGTATACCTTGGAAGACCTGATCTTGTGATTAGGGTCAACATGGCACATCTGGGAAAGCCATTTTCAGAAGCAGGGAAATATCTTCAAACCAGGGCTTCTCAATCTCAATGCTATTGACATTTTGGGCCAGATAATTCTTTTTTTTTTTTTTTTTTTAATTAAAATATGTGAGATGCGGTCTTGCTATGTTGCCCAGGTTGGTCTCCCAACTCCTGGGCTCAAGTGATCCTCCCACCTTGGTCTCCCAAAGTGCTGGGACTACAGGCATGAGCGACCACACCCAGCCCAGGTAATTCTTTGTTTTGGGATCTATGCTATACATTGTAGGATGTTTAGCAGCACCTCTATGTACTAGATGCTAGTGACTCTTCTCTAATTATGATGGCCAAAATTGTCTCCAGACATGGCCAGATGTCCCCTGGAGAGCAGAATTACTCTGGGTTGAGAACCACTGCTTTAAATAGACGTTATGATATGCATGAAATACAAAATGTGCGAAAATGTGTAAATGCAGTAGCCATCCCGTAAGAATTGGGTGTGTCGACCTAGCTCTCTCTGTTCTACTGATGCAATCCCTGTTCTGGTAATGTCTTTCTTTTGGCCCTCTGACTAGTGACCTTGCCAGTTTTGTATAATTCCTTTTCTTTTCTTACTTGCTTACATTTCATTATTTTCTCTTGGCTCATCCAAAGTATTTGTTGAATGAAATAGCCCTTGAAAAATTTCTTGAACAGAAAGGTTCCTACTTCTATTTCCAAACCTCTTGTAGACCCGTCTTCTCTTTTCAGGACTTGGCTGGATTCTTCATTCTTGGCTGGAAGTCAGTGACACATTCACGGGAGTCCTGGGGAATGCACTCTGCCCTTCCACCCCTATCTGCTCATGTTGTTTTTTTTTCTTTATAAGAATTCAGGCATATCTAGTTATTCAGGCATATTTAATCATGTTTCATTGTATGTGTACCAGTCCTTGGAGGTATTCACTCTATGTGTACCAGTCCTTGGAGGTATTCCTCTCTTTTTTGAAGCCTAGTTCTCTAAATGTCTGTTAATCTCTTTTACATATAATCTCTTCCATTGTTTGAACTTGAGTCTTGAATTTTCTGCTGGCTCACTGAAAGTTGGCTGTGAGGAATTGCTCCAGAGGCTTCCTGTGCTTAACTTTTTCTTAGATTTTTCTCTTAGTTTGGAGGATTATGCTGTTGCTTCAGTCAATAGCAAGTCTCTGAGGTGTCCTGGGCATGCCAGATTTCTCTCAGATCTAGTAGTATTGATTCTCCACACCCATCTCCCCCCCACTTTTTGTTTGCTATTTACCTCTTTTTGGGGAGTAGGGAAGAGTTGAGTTTCTTTTTAAAGTTTATGCTGTTGTTTGATTGTTTTTTTAAAAAAATGTTTTGCCTTTTTAATTAATTTCTTTCTGTGTGGTATTCTAGCTCATTTAGAGTCCATCTTGTCACTTACCTGGAATTCTATGGGGCAGTTCAATCCTAGGTTGGTTTTATTTCCTGTTTTTTTATACTTTGAGTATCTTCTCCTGTCTTTCATTGGGCACATGTAGGGAATTCAAAATTATTTAAGTACCTGTCTAATCATGGTAAACAGCTACATTGTCCAGTATAGGAGCCCCAAGCCACTAGTAGCTATTTAAATTTGAATTAAAAATGCATACAATTAAAATGGAGTTACTCATTTGCACCAGCCACATTGCAAGTGTTCAGTAGCCACATGTGGCTAGTGAAGATCCTATTGGGCAGTGCAGAACATTTCCCTTGTTGCAGAATGTTCTCTTAGGTAGTGCTGGGTCATAAGCTATCATAAAGCTTGTAAAAGATATATCTGAGCTATTTTTTCTCCATAGTATTGTGATATTTTTAATTATTCAGTTTAGTGTTTCCCCTCTTCACGGGGCAATTCAGAAGCAGTGGGTGACTGTGGATGGAGGGAGGGTAGGTACCTTAAAAGTGTAATTAGGTAACATATTGTTGGAGTTTGGGTATAACATGTAATGTGATTTTTTTTTCCATGTAGGAAACTCGATGACGGTGTGTCCCGTGTCGTTTGTGTGCTTTGAGGTGATTTGGCTGCACTCTCTTTCTCTAGGTGCTAAGAAATGCCGTTTGTGGGTCTCCTCTCTGCCTGAGAATCGAGGGCTCCAGGCACCAGAAGTGCCCGCTAATCCTGGGCTCCTTGCTTGAATAAGCCTCCACTCTCAGCTGTTCCAGTGCAACGGCTGTGCAAACTACTCGTTTCTCTTAATGATGGGCATTGGCAAGAACACCACATCCAAATCAATGGAGGCTGGGAGTTCCACGGAAGGCAAATACGAAGATGAGGCGAAGCACCCCACTTTCTTTACGCTTCCGGTAATTGTATTTCCTGTCTTCATTTCTTCTTCAACCGTTCTGAAGTAGTTTCTCTATGGAATCAACATAGAATTGGCTTTAATCTTCGTGTTGTCAGTGAAGGTTAAGGCATTTGCAAACCAAATGCTTTTCATGTGAGATGGTCTTTAGGCAGACTCTTGGGTTTTAGTCCTGTTCCCAGCCTGGAGTTACAGGCTGGGATTAATCCAGGAAGGAAGCATGCATTGGTGTTACCATTTTAATTCTGGCCCAGTGCTCCTATGTATGTACTAAAGGATGATGAAGGTTTAATTTTAAGAGCTTAATGTGCTCTTATGAAATGGCATGTAACCCAACTTCATACTCATATTACAGGGTGGGAGGATGACTGACTCACTGGTCAGAATCCAAATATCTATGCATGGTATTATGGTGGCACTGTGGTAACTTTATCTGAATAAGTGATATCAGTCAGATAAGGCTGATTACATACACTCATGATAGCCAATAATAATATTTTCCCCAGGTGTAGAATTATAACTTAATTTGTATCAAGTTGCCTATAAAGTTTGAAAAAAGAAAAAAGCAATTTAGAGAGATCTTATTTTGAGATGTTTTTCCTCTTAATACTGAAAATGTGGTTAGTGACAAGAGCCGTATTCTAGAGTTTTTAAAAATCTGATTCTGGAACTTGCCTCATATTATTACTCAGTAAGAAGGATGTGCACATGGCATCTTTACATACATTTGTTGACTACTTGCATTCACATTTTGGTTTTCTTACTGTGTTAATTCACAGAGGGGGTTCCATTGATTTTACAGCTGGCATTGCCATTTTCTTATTTCTTATACAGTGAAGTTTGAAGCTGGATTTTCTTTCATGTTGAAGACTTAAGGTTGACGCACTTTTTCTAGAGGAAGAGACAGTGTGCCTTATTCATTTGTACTGAGTTGAAATGAGATCACCTTGAAGAGTGAATATGAAAGGTTCCCGCTCGGGGATTGACGAGTCTCTTTTGTGGATGGTTTCGTTTAGAGCTCAGCAGATTGTTCACACCCACTTGCCTTCACTTCAGAGACAAGAATTTGAGTATGGCTTACCACCCACCTGCCTTGTCGTTCTGGTCTAGAGTTTTAGGCTCGTTTATTTTAGCGTCAAGCTTGTGAGATTTCATAGTTAAAGCAGTTAAAGTCACTATGTGTGTTACTGTTTTCTCATTCCCTGTTGCTTCCTGCTCATGTGGCATTTTCTTCCCTCTTAGTTCTCTTCTTCTTTAAGATACACTGAAGATCTGTGGATGGTCATTCTTAGTCTTTGGACATCTAGAAATAATTTCATGCGTATGTATATATATATATATATATATTTGAGTGTGGGTCTCACTCTGTCGCCCAGACCGGAGTGCAGTGGCACAATCATGGCTCACTGCAGCCTTGAACTTCTGGGCTCAGACAATCCTTCCGTCTTAGCCTCCTAAGTAGCTGGGACTACAGACATGTGCCACCATGCCCAGCAAATTTTTTGATTTTTTTTTTTGGTATAAACGAGATCTTGCTATATTGTTTAGGCTGGTTTCAACTCCTGGGCTCAAACAAATCCTCCTGCCTCAACCTCCCAAAGTGCTGGGATTACAGGTGTGAGCTACCATGCTTGGTCTGGAAATAATTGTATTTTGCTTTTAATTCTTGCATGAACTTCTATTAATGACATACACCATCCTCCCAGCTTCTTCATTTCTCTTTAACTGCTTTCTAATGGTTTGGGTATCTTTTTTCTGGATAAATCCCAGTATTTCCCAGTTTACTAATTCTTTGTGTATAGTTATGTATTTATGTTGAATTTCTATTGCAGTGATTATGCTTCCTATCTAAAATTTCTATTTGGTCCATTTCTGCCATTTTTGGTCCTTTATTTCTTATATGTATGTGTTTATTTTAAAATTTAAATTTCTTTAACTTTTGTTTTTTTAAATTATTGAGAGCCCCAACGTACTTATTTTCAAGTCTCTTCCCACCTCTCTTTTCATCTGGCATTTTTTGGGATTTTCTTCTTTTTTCCTGTGTTCCTATTACTTTTGATTTTACTGTCCTGGATCCAGTACAGAGAAGTAGGTCCTACAGTGGAGACCTTGTCCTCTTCCCCAGAGGTGCTGACATGAAGGAGTGGGGAAACCTGCCTGACCTGGCTCAGATCCCCACCCTGCATGGGGGGCCTCTCGGCTTCCAGGCTCAGAGCCCAGCAGGTCTCAACATTAGGCCCACTTCTTCCATACTTCTTTCTCATGTAGGCAAATGTTTGCCTGTCTTTTTGTGGCTGTCTGATTCTGAGTTTTTCCTTCTATCTCTGTTTTATTTCTTGGGGGTAAGGTTGGGAAGAAGTATTCCTAAAACCATTGGTTCCCAGATCCATCTTCACCACTTTCTCTGCAAGCACATGGGAACTGGGCATGCGGTCCCAGTCCTTCGTTGTGTAGCAATATAGTTATCAAATTGATTTAACACTAGAGCCATTTAATTAAGGATGTCATATAATTTTTATCCTAGTCTAGAGTTATAAAAGGAAGCATTAAAAGAGGGAAGGCAGTAGTTTTTAAAGTTATGCTAAATTGAACTGCAAAGAGAGGACAGAGAATTGGAATCTTGGGATTGAGCTGCTGGGAGGTGAGAAATGCCAAGGGGAAAGAGGTGGGTAAGTGTTGGCCTGTAAGCCACTGAGGTGACTGGGAGCCAGGAATGCAGAGATGGACCTTAATCTGGATTCCTTAAAGCCCGTGAAAAAGTAGAAGGTGAAATAAAGGAAGGAAAACACCAGAACAAGAGGCTATCAAAGAATGTTTATAAAGAAAAGTTCACCTGGTGTGGTGGCTCATGCCTGTAATCCCAGCACTTGGGGAGGCTGAGATGAGAGGATTGCTTGAGCCCGTGGGTTTGAGACCAGCATAGGCAGCATGGTGAGGCCTCATCTGTACAATAAATAAAAAAATTAGCCAGGTGTGGTGGTACACGCCTGTAGTTCCAGCTACTTGGAAGCCTGAGGAGGAAGGATCACTTGAGCCCAGCAGGTTGAGGCTGTGGTGGCTGTGAGCATGCCACTGCACTCCTGCCTGGGTGACAGAGTGAGACTCTGACTCCAAAAAAAAAAAAAAAAGAGAAAGAAATAGTTCATGTGATGGGATTAGAAGTTGTGGAAAATTTTGTTAGAAAATGTTATAATAAGAACAGGAATGCTGTGCTGCCCATATTTAATTACTAGCGAAATTGCTACCCTAAGTCAACTTTACAAATAAAATAGAATGGCTTTCTTATTGACAGGATAGATGTAGGGGTCAAGTTACTACGGGTCCCTTCCTGCTTACCCATTGATGGGATTAGTGTGGACACTGCCTCTCTGCTCTTGAGACCTGTGTAAGTCTGTTCTTCATTGAGCCCATGAGGTCAAGACACTAATTTCATAGACTCCGACAGCCTTAGACCTGAAGGTGGCTTTAGAACTCTTTTTAGGGGTTCTGTGGCAGATAAGAGCAGAGATTGGCCTAAAGTGTCTAGTTCACATGACATGTTAATTAAAGTTTACATCAGTGGGATCATACAAGGCTCTTGCCCCTAAGGAGTTCGCAGCCAGGTAAGAGAGAAATGGGCTGCCCATAAACACCACGAATGAAAGGCATTGTGCACTGATCATACTGAGCTTAACAGGTGTTCTTGGGAATGGTCTTAAAAAGCAAGAGTTGGTGGGGGGGTGCCATAGTTTATGATTGGGGTGAAAATGAGGATGATCTGTGTGTCTTGCAGCAACTTGTAAGTGTGAGCATCTCACTGACTTGGGGTGATTTTTCTTTTTACGTTTTTGTTTCCCTTAGAACATGGCCTCTCAGTGCATTGAGAAATGGATCCGAGAGTGATACTAAGAGGTTTTCTGAGTAGTTTTAAGTATAGGTGATCTTTGCTGACTTTAAAGCATGTCTTCTATGGAATAATTCTGTTATAGAAGAAAAGGAGATGTGTGGAAAAAGGCAGGGGGTGCTGAAAGTGGGAGATGGACCTTCTCTGTACTGGGTCCTGGAGGTAATGGCTGCCAACATGACATGTTGGAGTGTGTCAAGGTGGTGGGAAGGAGAGTGAGCAAGAAGTCAGTCTGGGCGGAGTCAGGACAGAAAGGGAAAGGAAGATGGGGAGGGAGTGGCTTTAGAACATGTTTGAGAGTCTGGATTCTGAGTGGTTCTTGAATGACTGCTCGAGAAGCTTTGAAATTTTTGGTGTATCAATAAAAGCTCTTCAAGGGGTTTAGACCTGCTAGGTTGTGCTGTAGGAATATTGAAGGAAAACCTGAGAATAGCATAGAGAGTGAACTGGGGTAGGGAACTGTTAGAAGAATAAAGAAGAACACCGTCTGTTGTAATAATCATTTAGCAAATATTTATTGATCACATTCTGTGGAAGAGGTGACCATATCTGGGTATAACACTCTGCAGCTTACTCTCTGCCTTCAAGTAGTATGTGAACCAGAAGCAGGAGTGGGTGCTTCCACACTGGAGAACGAATGCTACAGGAGGGTTCCTTCCGGGGACTGTGGGAGTCCCTGGACTTTTTTTTTTAGGTGACTGATTGGAATCAGAGGACCAGGAGAGTCAATGGGCCAGAGAGATGGCAAGGGCTTGATCTCGGGTGAGGGCAGTAAGAATGGAAGTGAGGCTGGGAGAAGAGATGCCAGGAGACTTTGAGGGCCAGGAGAGGGGGAAACTCAGGGCTCCCATCATGATTTTATACATAGGAACATGTTTGGGCAGATGGTGGCTACCCAGAAAATACAGAGTCTAAAGAAACCCGTAAGTTTGGAGGATGGAAGCAATGAAAGATGATGGAGTTTGCAAAGTCATGGATTTGAAGTGCTGCTGTCTCCTAGAGCCTGCAGATATTGGGGGTGTGGGGCTTGGTGCACACTGAGAGCAGGAGTGCTCCAAACTCATGGTAACGGCTCACGTGGGTGGACGCTGACCTGTGGGAGAGGTTACAGCTGCCAG